GGGAAGACACCTCCTAAGGTAGTTGAGAATGACCGAGCTAAGATCCTATGGGACTTCAAGATCCAGACTGACAAACAGGTGATGGCTAACCAACCAAACAGCAGAAGAAGGCAGTAGTGATAGATGTGGCAATCCCAAGCGACAGCAACATCAAGAAGAAAGAACACGAGAAGCTTGAGAAATACCAAGGGCTGAAGGAGGAGCTAGAAAAGATGTGGAAAGCAAGAGCAGCAGTGGTGCCAGTGGTAATTGGAGCACTGGGGGCTGTGACCCCCCAACTGGGAGAGTGGCTACAGCAGATTCCAGGTAAAACATCAGAGGTCTCTGTCCAGAAGAGGGCAGTCCCAGGAACAGCTAAGATACTGCGCAGAACCCTCAAACTCCCAGGCCTCTGGTAGAGGACCCAAGCTTGAGGATGACACATACCACCCCACGAGGGGTGAGAAAACAGTTGTTGTTTTTTTTATATATATATATATGTACATCAACCAATAACACACCACATACATACCATTAGATAGGCTAACATATAACATCTTAAATACTACGTTTTCAAATTGTAGTATAGTAAGACAAGGGATTTAAAAAATATAATATAACTAAAAAAATTATAAGCTCAATATTTATTTATATTATACCTGAACTAACGCTAGATATATATACATTTTTTTATATAATATACAGGTGCTGGTCATAAAATTAGAATATCATGAAAAAGTAGATTGATTTCAGTAATTCCATTTAAAAAGTGAAACTTGTATATTATATTCATACATTACATACAAACTCATATATTTCAGATGTTTATTTTGTTTAATTTTGATGATTACAAATGACAACAAATGAAAATCTCAAATTCATCATATCAGAAAATTAGAATATTACTGAAGACCAATAAAAACAAAGGATTTATAGAAATGTTGGCCAACTGAAAAGTATGAACATGAAAAGTATGAGCATGTACAGCACTCAGTATTTAGTTGGGCCTCCTTTGGCCTGTATTACTGCAGCAATGCGGCGTGGCATGGAGTCGATCAGTCTGTGGCACTGCTCAGGTGTTATGATAGCCCAGGTTGCTCTAATAGTGGCTTTTAGCTCTTCTGAATTGTTGGGTCTGGTGTATTGCATCTTCTTCTTCACAATACCCCATAGATTTTCTATGGGGTTAAGGTCAGGAGAGTTTGCTGGCCAATTAAGAACAGGGATACCATGGTCCTTCAACCAGGTACTGGTAGCTTTGGCACTGTGTGCAGGTGCCAAGTCCTGTTGGAAAATGAAATCTGCATCTCCAAAAAGTTGGTCAGCTGCAGGAAGCATGAAGTGCTCTAAAACTTCCTGGTATGTGGCTGCGTTGACCCTGGACCTCAGAAAAAACAATGGACCAACACCAGCAGATGACATGGCACCCCAAACCATCACTGACTGTGGAAACTTTACACTGGACTTCAAGCAACGTGGATGAAGTGCCTCTCTTCTTTTCCTCCAGACTCTGGGACCTTGATTTCCAAAGGAAATGCAAAATTTACTTTCATCAGAGAACATGACTTTGGACCACTCACCAGCAGTCCAGTCCTGTTTCTCTTTAGCCCAGGCAAGACGCTTCTGACGCTGTCTGTGGTTCAAGAGTGGCTTGACACAAGGAATGCGACAGCAGAAACCCATGTCTTTCATACGTCTGTGTGTGGTGGTTCTTGAAGCACTCACTCCAGCTGCAGTCCACTCTTTGTGAATCTCCCCCACATTTTTGAATGGGTTTTGATTCACAATCCTCTCCAGGGTGCGGTTATCTCTCTTGCTTGTACACTTTTTTCGACCACATCTTTTCCTTCCCTTCGCCTCTCTATTAATGTGCTTGGACACTGAGCTCTGTGAACAGCCAGCCTCTTTAGCGATGACCTTTTGTGTCTTGCCCTCCTTGTGCAAGGTGTCGATGGTCGTCTTTTGGACAACTGTCAAGTCAGCAGTCTTCCCCATGATTGTGTAGCCTATAGAACTAGACTGAAAGACCATTTAAAGGCTTTTGCAGGTGGTTTGAGTTAATTAGCTGATTAGAGTGTGGCACCAGGGGCCATCAATTTTGAACCTTTTCACAATATTCTAATTTTCTGATATGATGAATTTGAGATTTTCATTTGTTGTCATTTGTAATCATCAAAATTAAACAAAATAAACATCTGAAATATATGAGTTTGTATGTAATGTATGAATATAATATACAAGTTTCACTTTTTAAATGGAATTACTGAAATCAATCTACTTTTTCATGATATTCTAATTTTATGACCAGCACCTGTATAATTTAACCCAAGGGTACTGTAGCTAAGTGACCCAGTGCTGATGAGATGAGAGGCTGTGTGTGAATCAATTACAGTGAAGTGCAAAAGTGTCAGAAAAAAAATATTATATATGTTAAGGATGACATCATATTTACATCCTATTTCATCAAAGAGGGTGAAATCAGTGGAAGCTTTGCTCTTGCAGTGATGCAAGCTTGTCACAAAAGTCTCAAACAACACAAAAAAGCTGCTAGAATCATTGCAAGTTACTTGGAAAAATATTAAACTCTGAAAAAAATTACTTAATATAGTAGTAAAGTATATCAACAGTATAGATGATAGAAAATGAGACCAACATAATAATGGTAGTGATATAGGCTTGTAGCCAAAAAGCCTGGGAATCTCACAGTCAGTAAGACGATCATGAATTCCCACACCCAAAAAGGTATTTAAATTCAAATGAATTCAAATCACTTTGGCACAGACTGAGTCACTACTGAACAATCATGCCAAATACAGCAGCAAACATGCAATGTCTGAACAACTGGAAATGAATTGACAATTTATGGTCCAGACCACTGCCAGGTATGAATACTTTGGTGGGCCTTAAGAAAGATGTGTGAAAACCAGTGTCTGCATACCTTATTGAATGAAGCAATGAATAGGAGTGGGCCACAATTCTTGTACGGTGATGTGAGATACTAATAAAGTGTGAGAAAAAAACAACTACTAACAGATTTACGGCTGCTAAAGCTGGATCTGCAAGTTGATGAATCATGAGGTGTACTTAATGCTTTCCACGACTCCATCATACAGGTGATGACATACTTTATCCTGCAAACTTTAATAATTATTTATGGGTAAATACCAAGTTTTAGTAAAACATCTAAATTTTATCTAAGGCAAAACAAAACAAGTAGTATTCTTATTTTAAATATCTTAACCAAAGGTGCTACCCAGCCTCTAATATTAGGATGAGTCAGATGGAATTCTATGGAGGATGTGACTTGTAAAAATAAACTCTGGTGCAACTGTCTCTGTGCAGAGACTTCAAATGCTTCCCAGAGAAAAGGAAAACCATTGATAAATGATTCCTGCTAACAAGATGTCACAGTAGCTACAACTCTTGTCCTGAGGTGAATGTTTTAGTTTCGGTGTTTATAACGGATTTGTTTTCAGGAACATAAAACTCCTGCCAGTTAATTAGAGATTAGTGTAAGACCTACAATGCTGTGAGAAGAAATTTAATATAAGGCAGGGGCGGGAAAATATTTCCCAAATGGGCCACATAAACAACTACGTCTTTTCTCTTGTTCTAAACCACTAATTTAATGCTAGTTTTCATGTATATTTCTTGTATATTTGACATCGAACTCCAAACACAAGGTTACAATTCTGTTAGCAATGTGAAAAATGTCAATAAACTCATAAAATATTCACAACTGGATCTTATTCTCTCCTTCTATCTTTCTCATTAGCAGACTAGGTAATGCAAAACATTGCAAGCAACATTGATTCTAATAAATAATTAACTGATGTGCAAAGTTGCTAAGTTAATAATTACTTCACATGGTTGAAAGAAAAATGTAAACCAAACACCTACTAAAACCAGAGAAGGAAAAACTAAAAGCTGAAATCAATGGCAGAGTATTTAAATATTAATTTTGAACGACAAGCTGTGCCACAAAAAAGGGGAATGGATAGCTCCATTTGTTTTCAAAAATACATATGAAATGCTGAAAGAAAAAAAATACATATATAGATTCACCCCAAAACAAATTTTGGGAAACATAAAGCTAAGAATAAAATAGAAAAAAAATACTAAAACAACTTTTAACTGCCCTCCCTATTTCCCTTTAAAACCAAGTGGAAAATATTGGCAAGGGCTGAGTTTCACTTTAAGTTCAGTCATAATCATGAGAAAAGCCTATTTTTTTAAAAGCCTGCCAACAATGCCAAACTGCTGCAGGACTCTACAGAGTTCTAATGTACAACCAGAAAATAAAAGCAGAATATTCTTATTTATACACAGAAAATACTACTACAGACTTGTTTGCTTTATTTTCAGTCTACATACTGCAGGTTGAGGATGTCAAATTCAAGCCTAAGGCTTAAAAAATATTCAGAGCTGAGACCACATTTGTTTTTATAATGTATTATTCAGGTAATAAAGCTTAAGAAAAAAGAAAAAAATATATGTTTTGATATCTTTTTCTATGACTGCTTTTCTTTTACATGAATTTCACTGTCAACCAATAAACAAACACAACCTTTGTGAGATTTTTCCGCCTAAAGCTGGGAACTTGAGCCAATTTTCCTCTCAAACGTGGAGAGGAACGTAGTTCACTCCAAGACGTTTTGGCCCCAGTTGTTCCCAGATTACCATTCAAATGTTTTACGAGGGTAGATAGGAAGGAGACCTTTGTCAGACACAAAAGAAAGCCATGTTTTATGCTGGGAAGAGGTCTGGAGGAGAGGCTGTGTTTGTCACAGCGATGGATGAGCACTCACCCGTTAAAAAAACCTGCCAGTTAGAAAGGCATCTCCAAAATAACAATATGCTATAAAAATGTCAAGTGCTGACGTAAAGAATGGATAAACTTCAGAGTTAGAGACGCCCCAAATCCCTAAAGGTTCTTGATAAGGTCATGGTACTTTGTAAAGATAAGAAAGGAGTTTAGGGGACTGGGGGGGTAACAGACTTTACAGCAGGGAAGGACTTACCAGTCCATCACAGTTGTTAATGGCAACCGTGGCTCCAGGGACGTCAGTGATGTCACCAATAAATGTGCAGTCTGTCTTCAGCAGCTCCCGCTGGAGTATCCTCTCCGTGGTGTCAGTCTGGTTGGCGCCAACAGTAGAGTTTCCACCATAGCTGTCGCTGATGTTTCCAAATCCCTGAACCTCGTCGTGCCACTCCACCATCGCTCCGGGCGCCACCAGCCTGTCATTAGGCCGCAGCCGCAGATGGAACTCCTTTCCAAAGGCTGTGATGTTAAAGAACAGTTTCTGCTCTGATTCAGAGGAGAAGGCCTCTCTCCTTACGCGCTGCTTGTGAGTGGCCGAGAGCAGGTGGGACAGGTAGTGTCCGTGGGAGTCGGTGCTGAAGGGCATCACCAGGCCGTACTCCTTCAGCCGGCTTCTCAGCTGGTCTGTCAGATGAAAAAGGAAAGTTCGATGTAAAGGCAGCAGCAGATATTTACGGGAGACACTTTCAACTTACTCAAAGCACTCCCCACAAATAGAAAGTATCTCTACATTACATTTTTTATTAAAATATCATAAACTAAAGATATCATATTGCAAAATGCCTTTTTCTGTGCTTCTTCTCATGGTGAGTTTTTTTCCCCCCAAACAGGCGGGGCCTTTTTTTAAAGTAGCTCAGATATTTTCTGAATACTCAAATCAGTTGTTTGAAGTTAGATGTCAGACTCCTCGCATGTCTTTAATGTAGCATCTTTCAGCTGCATTTGATCTTTTCCAGCTTTCCACTGAACTATCTGGCTCTTTTAATGTTCAACCACTCACACGACAAATCTGAGGCCTGAGCCTGTAGCTCGAATAGAACAAGGCTAGTTCACAGACTTTGTTGGCTTATATGCAAAAACATCTTCTACAAGGAAATTTAAAAAACATAAGAGTAGAGAGAGGGAGAGAGAGAATATACAAATTAGATATTTTGTGCTTAAAATGATACATTTTGGTTAAAACTTGAAAATGTATTTATATTTATCGAAGGTTTGATATTTGGAAGAACTCTTTGATACTTTTAAACTTTAAATTGTTAGAATAGTTAGAAATACATCTTTACAGTCTCTTGAGTAAGTATTCACACCCTGAACTTTTAAACATTTATCTTAAGAAAAAATTCCTTGTGATTTCACTGCAACAACAAGTTGTGCATATTTAGGTGGTACAAGTAAAACTAAGGATGTGTGGTGTGCATTTCCATACAAACACTTTGTAGCATCACCTAAAGCTGCATTCACACATACTAACGTTTATTGGGTTATGTCCAACTACTAAACATTCACTGACAAAAGGTTTTGCACATAGTAAATTAGCTTTTTCCCATTTGAAAGGAAAGCAAGCCAATCTTTAGATTCTTGTAGAATCAAAGAATTTGGTCTAGACTTGGCCATTCCAGCATATGAGTGAGTCTGATACAAGCCATTACACCACTGCTTGACTGTAAGTTTTGGGATCTTGTCCTGTTGAAAGGTCAGCCTTCAGTCTGCAGCCTTTAACAGATTTTATTCCAAGTTCTGCTTGTATTTAACTCCATTCTTCTTTACATCAGCCCCAACCCTACTGAGATATGAAAGCTTCCCTGCAGCATGACGCTGCTACCAGCGTGTTTAATATGGGTGGATGTGTTGATTGCAATAGTAGGTTAAAGTTTAGTTGTGTGGCTGGAGCCTCATCATGATTGATGTGTCCTTTAGATGGGCTGTTACGAACTGTAAGCAGGGGATCTGGTGGATTTCTTTTTTTTTTTTAAGTTCAGATTTGTGTTCCAAAAAAACCAGCTCCCTTGGCTGCTTCTCTGAATAACAGGGCTTCACAAAACAGCTGCATTATTCTTGAAATTAAATAAGTCCTACTGTATGTGGAATGCACTTACTAATTATAGGATGTCTGTATGCAATTGACTGTGCTGGATATTCTCCGTTGCTATCAGATTGAACAGGGAAGAACACACATTTCAGATTTTCTTTCGTAAACTGAGAAAACTTTGTTATTTCCTTAAACTGCATAATTAAGTTGTACTTTTGTTGATCTATAACAAGCAATCCTGATTAAATGCATCAAAGTTTTTAGATATGATATTAAAAACCAGGACTTATATGGTCGTTGTATATATATGCTTATAAAAACACTTTGAGCTTACAGGTTTACAATGCAACTGTTCATCAGAAATGAACAATAAAGGTTTATTAATAATGACCTATTTCGATTCTTATGTTGTCAGATATTTTTCATATTGCCTAACATTTGCTCTTCAGAGCCTGAAATGTTTTCTCATACATTCTTGAAACCTTTCTCATTTAATGAATACAGCTGCCTTTTTTTTTTTACTTGTAATGAAGGCACTTGTTTAAGGATGACGTTAAACTTCCTAATGCACAGTTAAAGCTAGTGCTTTCAAGAACACAACCCACCAGGCAAGAACTGCATCAATCCAACAACACAAATTTCCTGAGGCAGTTGTTTCGATGCCTGTTGGACAGAAGATTACTATAACCACAAAAGGACATGTTGCCCAAAAGTCGAACATTTGCTATTTCTTCACAAAAATCACAGCTGTGGAACTAATTATTACCATGGAAGCTGCTATTAGAAATAACCTGACAGAAATAAGGAGAACTTTGAATGATGGTAACAGCAATCATCTATAGTGACAAACCACCCCCTTCCAATGGCACACAAGAGTAAAGAACAATTATAATATAAATCAATTAGGAAAGAAAATATATATTTTTTGCAACTGACAAGGTGCACTGAGCTTCACAACAGTACATAATACAAAGAAAAACACCTGCTTTAACAGAGCTACTGCACAACATCTGAGAATGAAGAGGAACCCAACCAACACTTACTTGCAGAAACTTGTAGGGGACAAAACAGTTAAATGCTCCTTGATTGCGCCCAGGGGAATACACACCTCATTTATGGACTTCCCAAAATTCACAAAAAAGCAACATCACTCAGACCTATCATCAGCCTCATAAATTTTGAAACATAAAACACTGCGGAGCACCTTGCTGGTATTTTAGGGTGGCTTTGTGTAAACACATAAATAACTCCCTGGAGTTTGCAAACAAAGCTCAACATTTGAAGCTTGTTCCAGAAGAAAGGCTGGCATCGCTTTACACCCCTTGACTTCTGTTAGTATATCCACATGTGATGAAGTGGAAATAATCAAAAGATTACTTCATCCGGATGCAGGCTTCAACAAGAGGACCAACATCAAATCTGTTCCCTGCTGGGCCTCTGTCTGATGTCCTCATTAAGTAAACTGACATTCTGGCTGCACAGCGGTACAGTGGGTAGCACAGCTGCTTTGCTGCAAGAAGGCTCTGAGTTTGATTCCCAGCCCGGGGTGTTTCTGCATGGAGTTTGCATGTTCTCCCTGTGCATGCATGGGTTCTCTCCTGGCCTCTTCCCACAGTCCAAACACATGACTGTTAGGTTAATTGGCTCTAATTGTCCTTAGGTGAGAGTGTGTGTGTGCAAGGCTGTGTGTCTCTGTGTTGCTCTGTTACAGACTGGAGACCTGTCCAAGGGTGTACCCCGCCTCTTGCCCATTGACTGCCGGAAATAGGCACTGGCCGCGACCCCGACAAGGACTAAGCATTAGAAGATGGATGGATGGATGGACAAAGAAGCATGGCTTTGCTATGGTCTCCAATTCACCAAATGAGGGCATTCTCTAATGACTACAGTAAGTGGGAAACAGAGTCCTAAACTCTTTTGAGCAAACACCATCCATCCACTGCTTCAGACTGGGAGGAAACATCCCAAATGGCTTTAAAGTTAGATTTTTTCTGACACAAGCACTGAATTGAGAAACCTTAAAAATTACAAACAAAACAACTACAAAAGCTGAAGTCCATTTTTTTTTTTTTTGGTCTATCTTGTACTCTTCCTACCTGCTACATGCAGTTCAGTGAAAATTTGTTTTATACTTTTCAAATTCCCACTGTATATCATTTGCCAATATTTTAATGTTTGAGATTATCAAACACTTGTAATATCAAAAATAACCTGATAAATGCTTAAAGCTTTCAAACTATCCTTTTCTGTGCTTGAATCATTTCATTAATTCTAACACACAGCTTCCAAACTCTTTCACTAATTTCTTTTCAGCCCAAAAGATATTTTCCCCACCTTAGGGATCAGTAAGAGCCCAAAGCCTTTCCTTCTTATTACTGTTGGCTCATGAGCTTTAATAAGGCAACCAGCAGTGTTTCATTCTATGTTATTTTTTTAACCTCCTGAATGGGTCATCAATACATTCTTGGTGTAATTCTAGTCATCCTGTGACCTCTGGAAAAGTCCAGCACTTACCAGAAATGACCGAGGTCCAAAAATGGCTGTGTATTCTATTTCTTTCAATTGCTCTGTTACATTGCTTTCTTTGATTTGGGTTCTTTAAGGCAAATAAAAGCTTGAAGCCTTGTTGTGTGCTATTTGTATTATTTTATTTTACAATTCAGCAGCATTATGAGCTTGGCTTATTTTTAAGAACAGGACTCAAAATGAATTCCAACTCAACAAGGGGGACATTGGTTGGATTTGTTCGGTTCCAGAAATACCTGACATGATTAAGACTGCATTTTCTATTTATTCTTTGTCTGATCTTAACATATGTCAGATAAACAGAGTGGTATTTAAAGACGTTGTGAAGAAAGAAAAGAAAATCACATGAAATCAACTTTTTCAAATATATTAGAGGGGACTTTTTAAAAGCGTGACTTTTACCCTAAACCCTGTTCATTCTCAGTCTGGGTTCCCGATTAAGTGCAATTATATTTAAATATTTAAACTTAAAAAAAAAATCATGAATGACAAGAAGACATTCAGACAGATCTTGCTACACTGAAAAAAACAACAACTTTACAATACAGGCAAAGGATTACAATCATTTGTGTATTTATAAGAAACACATTGGCTTTCAATCTTGTTCTTCTGGTACCACAACTATGCATGTTTTGGATTTCTCTCCACTGCAGCATTCATAAGTCAGGTGTGTGGCAGTGAGGAGACAACTAAACATGCAGGACAGGGGTACTTCAAGAGAAGGAAGGAGAACCACTGACTTATAGGAGTCTCAGTGGCTTTCTCACAATACACAGAATTTGCTTCTCCATAAAAACACATTATAGATGCAGTAGAAACAAACCACAGATATGTTTGTGGCTATGAATATGCAATAAAATCCAGAACAGAACACCCTGTTAATGGAGCATTTACAAACCTCTCCATTACATCATGTTAGCAGTGCTCTTTCTGTTAACATCAGCACAATGGTTTTCCCGATATTTCCACCTTAGATCCTGAGCAACATGTGTAGGAATGATACTAGCATTACAACACAGGTTTTCAGACAGAGAGCTTCAGATCTAAAGCTGCTGTGGCAAATATTTGA